AGTATAAAGTAATTTTTAATTACTTTGTCTATTATAAATTTTTAATTTGTAGCATGCTTTGAGGCTACAATTTATTATTGCAGAATTTATTTCAGGATTGGAATTATGGGTACCATTTTCAGATTGCTAAAAATTTATGCTGCAATTGTTGATATTTTTGTATGAAAAATGATAAGTATTCTAAAGTTGAAATACTTTATCATTAAAGAAGATGTTTAGAAACAACGAATATCTATTGAATATATAAGCACATAACTTATGATTGCAATCCATTAACGAATGGACTACCACTCAAGACATTTATGGAACATGTTAAAAGAATGGGTCTTGAATGTAGTCAATGATGATTATTTTTTAATTATGGATTGCTTAACAGTGTTTATATATATTTGACATTTTGCGCTCATTAAATGCGTTTCTGATATTTCCTATTAGTTAATGTACATGTACGTATTGCTTTAATAAGTGGTAATAGGAATAGTCTTGGAAAAGACATTATTGTTAGATCATTATTGATACTTCTCATTTATAGACTATGTTAAATAGGTTACTAGTGTTGTGGTACATGGAAGGGACTGTGTCATTTAGGGACATACAACCGCCATGACTCACATTGGTAGTTTGTTTACCATTGTATTTATGATGACCAACTTAATACCTTAATCTAATTTATGGTGCACACTAATGACTATTTTACTAAACCACTACATAAATTATCATATATGCCAAGTGGGAGAATGTAAGATTATTTATTTAATTGTGGCCCACATGATTTGGACATGTGACATATTACTTGGTGGCTAAGTAAATAGATATCAATTAATATTATTTATTTTTTGTCAACTTATAATTACCCTTTTGGTAATTACTTATTGGAGAAGTGTTTTCCTTTCTTATTCCTTACTTTGATGGAAAGTAGAATTATGTTACTAAAAGGAAAATTGGTCCTCTCTCTGCCTTTATAAAAATGCATATACTCCATCAATTATGTACAATTAATGTTACAACACGTAAAAGTTTTATGTGTGCAAAAGGCTAAGAGAGAGAAACCAGTTTCCACCTCTGCCTGTTGATCAGAGTTGCAGATTAGTTCGTGGTTAGAGGATCTAGACGTTGGATTTAATCTCAACAAAGTTTGATATCTGAATCGAGGTATTTATATCTAACCATTTATTTATGCATTATAGATATGTGAAAATCATGAAGTTATAAAATATGGGATTCATGTAAATTTGTAATTAATGGCTTACCACGAATTATTAAAGTTTACACAAAAACCCATCTTCATCACCAATTCCTTCATCAACCACTTCTTCTTCATCAATCTCCAAAAAACCACCATTATCATTACCAATTCCTTCTTCATCAACCAAGTCAACTGTCAATATTTCGAACTCGACCAACAGTCCCAAGAACTTATCTTGAAGATTTTTAAAGGTTGGAATTGATGGTGTATGGAGCAAGTAACGGAGATGTTCATGGTCAGGTAATGGATTGAACGGAAATTGAAGTTCCAGTGGAACAACGAGAGCTCGGCCTAGATGTGGCGCTCGAGGCATTGAGGCTGGCGGAGAAGGGAATTCGGGACATGGAAACGAGTAGATGACTCTGAACCCATGTAACGGTCTTCTCTCAAATCTATCTTGTCTCCTACTATCATTCGTATTTTCTTTTGATATCTGTTTTTGGTCTTAATTTCAACCACAAACCAATCATGGGATTGTTGGTTGTTGTCACTTTTTAGTATATTACAATATAAGTACGAAGTAACCATCGATGCCATAGCGAACCAACAAATCAAGAAATTGACAAAATAGTAAAATTTAAATAATAGGTAAATATTTGGCTAAAGATTTCACGAGCGAATTCGGAAACGAGATTGTAAAGCCGTAAATTTTCAATGTCGGACGCTTGATACTTTAAAGGTCGAGTCGAATCCACTATGTGTAAGAGAAAAACAGATACACACAGTTTCAAATGAGGGGTTAAAATAAAGTAAGCGCAGAAAACACCAGTGAATGCATATCACAACCTTCAGGTGTAAAAAACACTGCTAAAGTTTTAATTTGGTGCAAATAGGTCTCTCTTACAAATTTAAACTCTAAGTTGACTAAATTACCCTTACTGAGGATGCCCGTCCCTCTTGTGCAAAAAACACATCTAAAGTTTTAATTTGGTACAAATAGGCTCATTTGACAAATTTAAATCCTAAGTTGACTAAATTACCCTTACTGAACTATTTTATAAAATATATATATATATATATATTTTATAAAATGATCGAAAATGACACTATTGAAGGACGCGGGCAATGGACAAGTAAAGATAAAAATAGAAAATAAAAAATAAAAAACAGAAATAAAGTGCAAATTAAAGAAAACAAAAAAATTTCAAACTCCGAAAATCAGTGAACACTGACATTAGTAGTAAGAAGTAACTAGAATATCAAAAAATTCAAATCATTGTTCTACAAATTCTCAAAGTTTTTTTTAAAAATGTTTACAGATATATATATAGAAAAAAGTTAAAAAAAAAAAAATTGTAATGACACATAACATTATTATACTATGAGATTAATAGCATATATACCCCTTGGACATTTTTGAAATAGTAAAAGAGCAAAACAGGTATTATAACACTAAATTATGTCAGAAGGGATATTTTTGCATAATGTATAAAAATTAGAGGTGTTATTTTGCATATTTATTTCAAATAGAGATAAAAATATTACACGAAATATACTTTAACGGATGTTTTCTGTACTTGTCCCATTAAAATACTTACGAGTTTCTTTGATAGGTTTAGAGTTTTGTTTAATTTCCAAAGTTAAAAGTTCTCCTATTTGTAGTGAGTTTCCTCTCCCCATGAGCTGAACTCCGTTTTGGTGTTTAATTGAGTTATTGTATTCCAATTTGAAGGTATTCTGATTTGAACTTTTTTTATTTATTTTAAATTAAGTTTCTTTATTCATTTCTCACTTTCCAAATTTGTTTTGTGGTGGACTTTAATTTTTGTTTTCTATTATCTTTATTTATTTATTTATTTTTATTATTATTATTTTGCATGAATTCGAGAGAAAAAAAATAAAAAAAAAAACTGATTGCAAGTTACAAATCCCCCTGCGAAGTTTCCAGTGCCGTTAACATGAATATAAAACTATCACTTAGTGGGGTTAATGAGAAAATGAATAAATTGTATAAAATTCATCCCAACTATCTTTTTTTTCAGCATCCTTATCAATTACAACAACCTCTTTGAAAAGCCAATTAAAATATCTGACCGCCATCGAGTCTATATTAATTTGAAAAACTAAAATAAAATTAATAACATAATTGAGCAAGTAAAATTGTCATCCTGAGTTCTAACCCATAGCCATAGTTCATAACAAGAACTACACAACCAAACATAATTTTTATAGATTTTTTATATGATTTTTTTTCCCGTAAGTTAGCCATACTCACTAATTACTTCTAATGAGAATTTATTAATCTTTAATTTAAAAAATAGAGGATAAACTAATAAGATAGATTATGCATTATATAATATACCAAAACTTACTATCAAATTATCAATAGTGATAATCAATATCTTTTAATTTATTTTTCATTTTTATCACTAGTCATTTTAATTATATTTGATCTTTTAAAATCATTTATAAGAAGTTCATTTTATTTTGGTTAGTCTCTTTGTCTGCAACTCTATGTACATTAATTGTCCCACTTTATGATCACTAGTTTGGTTAGGGTATTCGAGTGGGCTAACTTGAATCCAACTCTAAAATTTTTGAATTTAAATATGGCTATTTGGAATTTGATTTGGGCTTGGGCTGAAAAAAGGAACTGAATTCATTTCCGTCTAGGCTAGGATTCATGCGTTGGACAACCTGAAATCCAATCTAAACCTGACTCAAATTAGATAACTCGAGCAAGCAGATTTGTAAACCCCAATATACATAATAATACAATTATGTATACACATACACACACATATATACTCTTGTACCATACCTAAGGGTGGCAAATTACGACACGATCCGTCAACACGGCTTGAACACGACATGAGATGAGTGGGTTTGGGTTAACTTTAATCGAGTTCGGGTCATAAACGGGTTGACACGATTAACTTGTTTACTTAATCGTGTCGGGTTAGGGTTAAGGGGGTTCAACACATGTAACCCGTTTAACTCAACATGTCATAATTATGAATATAACTTATGTAATATGATACATGTTTAAATCTAATTACTATGGACGGTTAAGTTATTTTAACATAAACTTTAATTAAGTTTTATGATTTTTCTTCTTATTTTAAATATTTAGGTTAATTGTAACAAATTTTTTCTAATATTTATTATTTGATTGAATATTAAATGGCCGTTAACCCGTTTAATAAACAGGCTAGACTAGTATCGAGGGTTTCTGACATAACTACTATCGACACGACACGACACGACACGACATAATTATGATTCACGAATATGAATCGCCACCCCCTAAGTGCACCTTATCAATCATTTTTCCTTTCTATTAATAGCGGATTGATATTGATACTCCTATTAAATTAATGTTGAACATTTCCGGTGGAATCTGAATTGTACCTCCAAAGTCCAACCTATCCGAGTTGGGTTGCTGCCCCAATTTGTAAACAACCTTAAAATTTATCTTAATTATATTTTTTGTAGTCAACTTTGTAATTCATCTCATTGTTCTCATTTCAGTTACATATACATTATTCTTATTACTTATTCAATAATAAATTGACTGCTTGTATCATCCATATATATATATATGTATTTCTTATCCATATTTTCTTTAAACAGGTGAAAAGGAGATTTAAAGTGGTAAAAATAAGTATAATTATTTCCTACAGTAATTTATGACATGTTACAGTATAATAGTGACCGTTTTTTACTAGAAGACACGCCCTCCAGACACCGTAAACCAACAATTAGCCGCGGTCCCACTCCTCAACGTTGAAATAATCAACGATTCAACGTTCCTCTCTCTCTATACTCCTAAGCGTGCAAAGACCAACAACTCACACCAACGAACCAGAACCAGCTCTCTGTTCCAAGTCAAATTCCCAGTCTTCTTCTTCCTCTCTATCCCCTCCTGCATTTAAAACCCTCTCTGCACAGACCAAATTTCACAAGTTGAAAGGCATACACACAGAATTAAATAACTCGAATCCCTGACAGAGACTAGAGTAGAAAGAGAAATGAAACCCCAATCTATACTAAACCCAATTTTATTTTCACTCTTCTTCTTCATCATCACCACCGAATCAGCAGACATCCCATTAGGATCAACCCTCTACGCCTCAAATCAAAATAGCAACTGGAACTCACCAAACCGCACGTTCTCTCTCGGCTTCATCTCCGAAGGCCCCACCTACTTCGCCGCCGTCACCTACAACGGCATCCCCATCTGGAGGGCCGGCGGCGTTGACACTGGCGCCGCCGACTCCTCCGCCTCTCTCCAGTTCCTCTCTGACGGCAACCTCCGCCTCGTCAACGGCTCCGGCGCCCTCGTCTGGCAGTCCAGCACCGCCGGCCGCGGCGTCTCCTCCGCCGCCCTCGACGACTCAGGTAACTTCGTCCTCAGAAATGGTACAACTTCTGTTTGGTCTACATTTGATAATCCGACTGATACCATTTTGCCCTCACAAAATTTCACAATTCACAATGTTTTGCGATCTGGGTTGTACACATTTCATCTGCTTAGCTCTGGAAATTTAACACTTAGGTGGAATGATTCTATTGTATATTGGAATATTTGGTTCAATTCCTCTTCCAGGTGGAATGAGTCTACTGGTATAAATTCTATGAACTTTTCATCACCTATATTAGGACTTCAACCAATTGGGGTATTAACCCTTTCTGATCCAACGCTTTCGGCCGCAGCCAATGTAGTTTATAGTAGTGATTATGCTGAGGGTAGTGATATACTTAGGTTTGTGAAGTTGGATGATGATGGGAATTTGAGAATTTATAGCTCCACTAGGGGTAGTGGTGAGGATACTGTGAGATGGTCAGCTGTTGGTGATCAGTGTGAAGTTTTTGGGTTTTGTGGGAACATGGGCATATGTAGTTATAATGATTCGAGTCCGATCTGTGGGTGCCCTTCGGAGAATTTCGAGCTGATTGATCCAAATGATAGCAGGAAGGGGTGCAAGAGGAAGATGGAGATTGAGGATTGTCCGGGGAGTGCCACCATGTTGGATATGCCGCATGCCAAGTTCTTGACATACCCTCCTGAATTGTCCTCGCAGATTTTCTCTGTGGGTAATTCAGCTTGTAGGTTGAATTGTCTTGTGAGTGGTTCTTGTGTTGCTTCGACCACATTAGCAGATGGAACGGGGATGTGTTACTTGAAAGTGCCGAATTTTGTTAGTGGGTATCAGTCCCCTTCTCTTCCTAGCACTTCATATGTCAAGGTTTGTGGTCCAGTGAGTCCGAACCCCTCTGCTTCTTCTCTAAACGCTGGCAAGGATAATGGTTGGAGGTTGCATGCGTGGATAGTAGCAGTTGTGGTTGTGGGTACTGTTTTGTGTTTAATCATGTTGGAAGGTGGTTTGTGGTGGTGGTGCTTTAGAAATAGCCCCAAGTTTAGTGGATTGTCCGCTCAATACGCACTTCTTGAATATGCCTCTGGTGCACCGGTCCAGTTCTCATACAAAGAACTCCAACGGTCCACAAAGGGGTTCAGGGAAAAGCTTGGAGCAGGAGGATTTGGGGCCGTTTATAAGGGGGCTCTTGCAAATAGAACCATTGTTGCAGTGAAGCAACTTGAGGGAATTGAGCAGGGGGAGAAACAGTTTAGGATGGAGGTTGCCACTATAAGTAGCACCCACCATTTAAACTTGGTGAGACTAATTGGATTTTGCTCTGAAGGGCGTCACAGGCTTCTGGTGTACGAGTTCATGAAGAATGGTTCTCTTGATAACTTTCTCTTTACAACAGAAGAACAGTCGGGTAAATTGTTAAACTGGGAGTATCGTTTTAAAATCGCCCTAGGGACTGCAAGGGGGGTCACATACCTTCACGAGGAGTGTCACGACTGCATTGTCCACTGTGATATAAAGCCGGAGAATATTCTCTTGGATGAGACTTACAATGCCAAAGTTTCAGATTTTGGTCTTGCGAAACTTGTAAATTCAAAAGACCATAGGTACCGCACGTTGACAAGTGTGAGGGGAACAAGAGGATATTTGGCACCAGAATGGCTTGCAAATCTTCCGATAACTTCTAAATCTGATATTTACAGTTATGGTATGGTTTTGTTGGAGATAGTGAGCGGGAGAAGGAATTTTGAAGTATCAGAAGATACAAATCGGAAAAAGTTTTCTGTGTGGGCTTACGAAGAGTTTGAGAAGGGAAATGTGAAAGGAATTGTCGACAAAAGGCTCCACGAGGAGGTGGATATGGATCAAGTCAAGAGGGCAATTAAGGTAAGCTTTTGGTGCATCCAAGAGCAACCATCTCAGAGGCCAATGATGGGAAAAGTGGTGCAGATGCTAGAAGGGGTTATGGAAATTGAGAGGCCGCCAGCGCCAAAGGCTGTGATTGAAGGATCAGCTAGTGGAACCAGTGTAAATGTGAGCAGCAATGTCAGTGCTCTCTCCACTGCCGTGGCTTCAGCCCCAGCACCCTCTTCATCGTCATCATTCCAAACTCCGGGAATTTCATCTTCTGTTTCGAGTAAGAATGTGGAAAGGGCATCTTCATCCCTTTTACATTCAGAACTGAAGTGAAACTAACATCCACTCTCTGGTGTGCCTAGAAGAGTCAAAGTACTGCTTTTGGGATCTAATTCTTTGCAACCAAATGTGGAAGGGACAAACTTTGAGGGTGATGAGCTTTGATCACTGGATACCATTCATTAATTATAGTAATATTTTGTAGTGTAATACTTGTTACTACTGTATTATATAGTTTTTGTCAGCATGAGGTTTTCCATCACATTTAAGCTGTTCCTGTGATATCACTTTATTTTCATTGGAAGAATTGTAATTAGTAATTTGAAGAACCCTTGTTACTGAATTTCTCTTGATATAATGAAAAGATGTACAATTTTATTTAATCTCTTTTCAATGAAATTTCCCAGAAGGAATGGAGGGAAAGCAGTGACGGAAATCACATGGACAATGGTAATAATCCTTAAATATGCTTAGTCTTTGGTAGATTATTTTTTCAGTTAAGTCATTAGGCCGGATGGTGTTGATTTCTCTCCTCTAAAAGAGGATGTTGAGAGTTCGAGCCTCATTTTTTTTAATTTCCGCAAAGAATAAAAACCTTTTTGCACCAATTATTTTGCCTGCCTAAAGCCTTCATTGTTTGCGTTTGTATAATTTTCATTCAGCAGCAAACCCCACCACTCGGTCTTCTCCTCACTGGTTGTGAGAGCCACTAAACTCTAGATGTCAAAACAAATCATGTTGTATACTGAAGCCACCAAGCAACTTGCAAATTCAATATTTTAAATGGCCAAAATGAGTCATTCTCAATGAAGGAAAATTAGGAGAGGTAACTTGTGATATGTTGCCACATATCTTTTTCCCAAAAAAAAAAAAAAATAATCCTAGCCACCATTGTGTTACTTGTCAAAAAGTGCACATGTAAAATCATTGATTAGTAGTGGTAGAATTTTTAAACATTTTGTGCCAATAATGTCAGAAGATAGATATTTCCTTCTTATACTTCTCCACTGACACAAATATATATACATATATACATATATATATATATATATATATAGAGAGAGAGAGAGAGAGAGAGAGAGAGAGAGCTTACTCAACCTATGTAGACGACAGCAACTTAGGTGGGGATGATTATTATACAATGTCCTTTGTCCACATCTTGCATGTACTAGGCCATATCAAGGAACCAAAAATTGTGAACTTTGCACATGCCAATGTGAGCATTTTTTTTATTTGTTCATTTAGTAGCTGCTGATCAAGCTGCAACTTTTGATGAAGCCCTTCTTGGTAGCATTATTTATTGAACGCTGCTATTATTGTTCCGACGTTTCTATCATCCCCGTCTACCTATAGTCCTTAGAGCCTTTTTACATTCCTTTTTACACCAGCCGGCCAAACGGTTTTTATGCGTTTGAGGTGAGACAAGTATGCTCTTCGGATGGTGTTGTCGGCCGGAATTTAATGCTAAAATATTCCCACACTCTTCACATTCACCTTCACCTTCACCTTCACCAAGGGGCCTATTATAGCTACCTGGATTCACAACATAATCCCAAAGACTGCCATTGGTTGCTACTCATTTTGCAAAATATATGCATCATAGATATGGAAAGTCATGGAAACATCATAAGTGCTGCTACAAACAAGAAAATTTTTACTCCTCATTGGCACAAAAGGGTGACAATTGTTACAGTCCCCATATGTAGACTGATTTTTACAAATAAAAGATATGGACCTATGGTAAGAAATAATACAAAACAAAGAATAAATTGGTCAAATAATTATACAACAAGCTACAAGCAAAGCCAGAAGAAAACACTGCAAAAATATTTCAATCCCAACCTAAACAAAAATTACCATGAAAAAATCTTCCATGCACAATCAACTGCTGACGCTCAAGCTGTAAAGTTGGACTAGAAAGCCGCAGACCGAAAATTGGCATTGTCAGTATCACTGTTAAGATGCAAGTCTGTCTATGTCAATGACACCAGTTTGCAGGGCATTGTGCTGAGAGATATGAATGGATATCCCCCCGGCTATCTTTTGCGTTACCTGAAATGGTCTTGCCTAATTACTCCAACAAATTCAGAATGCAATTCATCATTGTCTTTGCGTTTCCATATTTCACCATTTGCATGGATATGCCAGGATATCTGAGGAGAAAGTGGCATATATTCTGCATCAAATAAACTCAGATTTGTGAGCTATAAGCTTTTAGAGTCTTGCAGGACTAAATTCTAACAATTTTTTGTCCAGGCAATGCAACGAAAAAGCAGACACAAAATAGACCGTTGCTTAGCCACCATAACAAACAATGAATGGATATTGCATCTCTGCAGGTGAGAATCTGGATTTTAAATAATGAGTGTTATATAATAACTGCTCAATAGGAGTAACAATCTTTGTGAGCAAATAACAAACTTGCCTAAGTTGGAGGCAGTAAACACTCACCATTAATATTCATCTTTCAACTCTCTGATATACGAAAAACTATTGTTCAACTCTTACACATGTAAAAAAAGGATAGAAAACCCATAAGTTCTGGGCTACCTCTTTATCTGTCTAGGGGTCCTTTTGACATATTGTTGATCAGCAGCAATGACCAAGCGACTATTTTTTTTTATATATATATTTAAGTCAATGACCGAGCCACTCGTCTATATAATGATTATGTTTCAACTATGATTTTTTATCATAAGAATTCTCTAATCCATTTCAATAGGGTATAGTTGGGTGCCTATCAATAGTGAACTGGTGACTCATAAGTGGGGACTTGAGCTTGGTGTGCGATTATAGTATGATCCTTAGCTTTGCATTGTAATTGCACCATCGTGATGTACCTCAACTGTGGTGCACTGTAACCCCGGTTGCTATGTAATTCTCGACATTGCATTATGTTCCTGCAAATCGCAATGTACAGCTGCCATGCGTTATGACTCCAGCGATAAAAATATAATTCTTGACATAGCATCGTGATTCCATGATTGCAATATACCCCCTTTATGGCGCATTGTGATCCGAGCAATTATACCATGATTCTCGTCTCTTGATATCGTGTTGTATTCCTCGTAGCCATAATGTAAGGGTGTTGCGTCATAATCCAATTTGAAATACTTGGGTTTCTATTTTCTTTTTTTGATAAGTGAAATACTTGGGTTTCTTAACCTGTGTCTGATTTCTTTCGTCTCTCTAATAGCCTTAAAACCTTGACCTGTGGTCAGGGAATCGAGAAACAAGTCCAACAAGACAGAGGTAGTAAGCCTGTAATCTGGGTGTGAATTCACTCACTCAAATTGTGTCCTACAACTTAAATAATCAGTGTTGCAGGTTGCGTCTTGACCAGGTTACCAAGGGGACTGGAGTGTGCGCTTTGAACACATTTGCCGGTTGAAATCCTAGCTAAATGGTTTGTACAATTACGTATATAAACACTGATCATTCTTAATTCTTCTAGTGTAGATAAGAAAATAAAAGGGGCAATAGGAAAGTACTCACCCATTTTATCTCTAGATGTTGCCTTGTCTCTGCTCCTCCCCTTTATGTTTGCCTTAACTTTCTCCCATCACAACCTCCCAAAGATTCCATTAATCCAATTCCGATAGTCATTCTATTCTATTTCAATCCTATGTCTACATCCAGAAGGCTCCACTAAATTGGTACATCCCAAGGCGACGAAGAAAAAGAATACCTCACAAGGTCATTGGTAAGGCACCAACAAAAGCACTAAACTTGAATGTTCCAGCAAACAATTCTACTTAACAAACAATAAATCCATTATTTTTTTCATTTATTAAAACCATGACCCCAGTACAATTATTCCTTTATGTCTTTCTAGAGTCATTCGGTAAGTGGAATTTTATTATGATCGTAATATGGTTGGAAAGTAGACTATTACATGGTCCAGTGATAGAAGTCCAGGGTAGAAAGTGTGGGCACTTGTTTAAGTCCGAAAGAAGTCATCACTTTGTGATAAAGATGTCAAAAGTTAGGTCTTGGTCTTTCCTTTCTCTCAATGTGGGCAGGATCAAATAGATAATGGCCAATGTTATGCTATTGTCTATATAATACATGAAGTAATTCTACAGGAGATTGGCTCGGTCAGTGATAGGTCATAGACTGCTTGCCTGGTCAACTTGATAAGCGGTAAATGACCAAGCTATTCTTATACACTGGTTGCTGATTGTCCATCAATCATTCAACGAACCAAAACCAAGTTATGTCAATGTAATGTAGTACAAGATTTTTAAAAGTAGCACTAAGGATAATATGAAATAACCTACTCAAAAAAATAATGTTAAAATGAAATAATTATAAAAAGTAAAGTGGTTTTAGGTTAAAAAGGTCAAAGACAAAGAGCCCAGATTGATATCATCTAAAATATTCAAAATATTCAAATATTCATAATTAGAAAATAGAACAATATATTATTAATTATTTCACCAACAAACCCTACATTATCTTAATTTTCAACTAATTTTCAAGCAAAATGCAACTCCTAAAACCCAATTTTTAGCAAGGCCTGCAAACCCATCCCAAAATTCGCACACTAATCCTTCAGAATAAATCCCATAAATTTCAATCTTGAAAAAACTCAATCAAAATTGCTGAAACATTTATCTTAAAATTCAAAATTCAAGTATCATTTGATTATATAAATACATACGAAAGCCTTCACAGGGGGTTTAAAAAATGAGTCTATGCTTGTGTTTTTACATGTGCATGTGTGTGATGAGACAACAGATCTAGAGAGAGAATGTGTTTGTATGTGTGTGATGAACAGTTCATGTTTGTGGGCCTGTGTGGTCAGCTAATACAAAATAGAGGAACTCGCTGGAAAAAGTTTGAAGAAGGAAGCAGCCATGGTACCAGATGGAGATTCACAATGGTGGATGAGGTGAGAGATGGTGACTGGCGAGGAGGAGGTGGTGGGTGGTCAGCTAAATTGCTCAAGGGGGCTTTAGGTTTACTGGGTATTTAGGGCAAGGTTTGAAAGGTATACCTGTGTGTATACATAAGGTGTATATATAATAATGCCGGTTTGGTTCAGTTAAGCTTGGTTTTTCGTAACCCGAATGCGTGAAACCAAACGGTCTCTATTGTTCCTCTGTTCTGGGAAGTGGAAGTGGACCGACACTCATACAAACCAGACCTGAACCACAAAAATCGGATCGTGTTGGTGGTTGTACTGTTAAAATGTGCACTCCTAGCTAAGCCCAAGAAATAGGGACTCGGGAGTAAGGGACATAGGAATAAGGCTTTACCAAATATATTTATTAATTTTCCCTTTGCCTATAGCTTATGGACAGAGAATGAGAGATGCATCCAAAAGAGGCACGAGGTGTTAAATGCAGTAGCTCCTCAAAATTCTAAACATAGGGGCCAAGCTATTTGTTTGTCCTCTAACTCCTGTTGAATTTTCTTATTATGACATGCAATTATCTTTTAAAGTTCCAAACAGCATTGACGAACCTCAGTTAACACATAAGCTGTGTGTGTGTGTGTGTGTGTGTGTGTGGTGGGTGGGTGGGTGGGTGGATGGGGGTTGGGAGGTGATGGGGGGGAGAAGAAATTCAAAGAATAGGCACCATGACAAAAACTTCATTCACTTAGGCTTCTGCACATTTTGTGAAATGAACTGTATCTCAAATCTTTAAACAAGCACCATCATATCTTGAAATGCATATTAAAAATTATGTGTTAACTGAGGTTCTTCAATAGCCAAAACTGTCCAACATGTCAAGTTTTACAAAGAAAAGTGTCAAACATGTCGTAGCTCTTCATATACCAACAATGAAGCTACTATGAATAACATAAACCATATTACATATCTTGAAATGCATATTAAAAATTATTTGTGATAAGCTGCTATCCTAAACCAACAAAATCATTGGGAGACCAGATTGGTATAGATATTTGAAAGAGAAGGGAAATACCTTGCTGATACCGCAAAGCACATAAAAGATCAACTATTATAGATAACATCGACAACTACTCTTTGGCATAAATTTGGCAGCACTAGGGAAAAACTAAATATAGCACTTATAACAATCAAAAAACATAGGAGCGATCACTTCTCAAAAGCATCAAAGCTAACACATGCCAAGCACATTAATCCTTTAGTTCACCAATATGCAATGTATACATTAATATGCCTGTACTTGCATCTACATACCTGTTATAGGAGGTGGATCTGGCTCTCTCGTACTATGCAAAACCATAGTACCTGAAAGCACAGTTATGAATCCACAAAGCACTGAAACAAGACTGCTAGCACTCTGACCGGCCCAATCCTAAAATAGCAGAAGTTCACATTACAGTTTGATATAAGTTAAGGCAAAAGCATTACAATAAATATATCTTCAAAATACCTTAAACATTATTGCACTTGCGAAAATTGTGAGTGATGTGAACAAGGCATAATAGATTGGAGAAACAACTGCTGTATTAAAAGTGTCCAAAGCCTAGAGAAAAACCAAAGTCAGTCTCTAAACACATTGTCTAAATCAGAGCAGAGCTAAAAGTCAAAAAACCAAAAAAATGCAGATAAAAGAAGGGAGTTTATATATGTACACAAAACATCACACTTCCTAACGCCTCCTCCATCAATGCCTTTTCGAACATCTCATCTTCAACTATTGCCCACATATGTTTTCAGTATTGCTGTGGATTCAATGATTCATACCCCAAGACAAAATAATGGCTAGGAATTAGGTATATTAGCATGCTCACATCAAATTATAGAAGGGCTTTTCATCATATATCATTAATTTTCAGAAAGAAATATAAAGTAAATGCAGAACATGGCACTTCGAAAAGCAACTAAACATAGCGGTATGGAATCATTCTGCACGAGACTTGTCTCCAGCAGAATGCAATAATCATCTGAACTTTTCAAGGGTGAAGGAGAGATAATAACACAATTACCAGGTAAAAATAAATAAATATGAGTAGAATATCGTGCATAAAAAATCAATACAGATTACTTTTCAGATGAATCTAGCAGATTTCTTGACAAGGCAAAAGGGAGAGATCCAGAAATTATAAGTTAACAGATACATTTTGTTGTTACAAGTACATAACCAATTTGTATATAGTGCTAAAAGCTTGAGATAAAGAGATGGATAAACAGAGACTGGGTACCTATCAGAAGCACCAAAAGCCTTAACAAGAAGCTTAAGATGATGATGGAGGAATGAAGGCTTAGGAATGAGGATGATGTGAGGAAGTGAAAAAGAAAAGAAATTGCATAAATTAAATTTTTATTTGACATTTCTCAACTATCCAACCTAATTTTTTTTTTTAAATGCTGCCCCAACATGTGGAAAATCTGTATGGTTGACCACCCATGTTGCACCCCTAGGTTGAATAATTAACACAATAGATATGGAGGGTGCAAGAGAGCAGTCCTTTTATAATATTCAACTCGAAGTGATTTCTTACAATTGATCATCAAACAGCACTGAACCAAGCAACCATAGATGATTAGTGATTTTTAAAACACTCACTAAAACATTGAATAATTTCATATTGCTATATCATTATATTATGATCATGTGAATTAGTGGCAATACAGTCTATTTTCCTACAATTAGTTTGCATGCAACTACAGTGTAAACCAACTTTGGAGTATTGTTGCCTAACTTGTAGATGTTAAAATTGTCTTTTTTTCTTCAGAAAATCCTTTGTGCTAGACTCATGAAACTTATACTACGAGTTGGAAGTCTTAAAATTGTAAAGAAGGTACTTCTGCAAGCATTTGAACGCTATTCTTAGTTGAACCTCTTAATTTGCCATTTTTTTCTGGGGAGAGGGGGTGAAGAAGAGGAAGAAGAAGAAAAATGACCTTGTTTAAGTAATTCAACTGAATGATTATACACGTAAGTGAAACCATTGCAAAAACCCATGTTTGGAAGTGGGCAATCTGGCTTGAACCCTCAAGTGTGAGTTTGATGGCAGTGCCTATTGCTTTGATACTCATAACCTGCAAAGAAGCACCAAAACATCTCTTTAAAAAAATTCAAGCCTCCCTTTGGTAGTAAAATATCTTTATTGTGATTGTATTTGCTGCGTTTACTTTAATGATACATATTGAGGAAGCTTTTAAATCAACAAAAGAAGGATGGTCTCTTATTTTCCAGTAACAACCGAGAACAAGCATATGTAAAAAAAAAATTAAAACCCATGTGACTTTTAGAAAATTAATCTCAATAGATACAAGATATAACACAACATATTTGGGGACAAAGGGACTCTGACATGCATCATACTAGCAGAATTCACTATGCCTATAAAGAAGACAATATAAAATCCAATTGCAAAGCAAATTTCAGTCTTAATTAGAAACTGGGCTTTTTTCTCTCTTAAGGCATGGCCCTTTGCTTACTGTAGTTACGATGATCCCGTAACACTGACATTAACTTAGAGTAAGAGCCATGGTTGTCCCATATACCCAAAAAAGAAGGGGTGGGGGAAAAAAGAAAGGTTGAATGCTGAAGGATACAGGACCACTAACCGTCAAAGAACCAAATATGGAACATATGCTGATATAAACCATTATGTTTGTCTGCCCATACCGTGGTTCACAATACAACACCAGTACCAATACTACTGCTATTGCTGAGGCTGTGTACAGAAGGAAAGCTGAAGCAACAAAATTAAGATTATCAACACAAAGAATCTAGAATATCATTTGACATAAAGAAATGAAATAGAAATAATGATCAGAGACAGCGATTAAGGTATATTCTGTTTACCTGGTTGTGTTGCTAAATCCCAGATTTCTTCCACTGAACTTATACTATGTTCGCTAGGTGCGTGAAGCACAATTATGGTAGACCCCACAACACATAAAACACACCCCAGTATCCCCATTTTCTGTAATTTTTCCTTCAATAAGAAGTGCGCTAGAACAGCACTGATAATGAAACAAACACAAAAAAAAAAAAAAAAAAAAAAAAAATCACAAAATATTTTACCTGAAACACATTAATACTGAGAAAACAGCTGATCAAAATCACATATAATCCACATTTACCTGACAATTATACTCAATGCTCCAAGCGGCGTTACAAGCACAGCAGGAGCATAAATGTAGGCTATGAAATTGGCAAGCTCTCCAACAATCACTGCCAAATTTTGACAAAAAGAAACAAGTTCCCAAGTTACATTTCATCAACCTCATATAAAATCAACAGCTACAACACAATGCTAAAAATTTGGGCAATGCAAGACTTACTAGTGATCATGCCAACCCACCAAAGTGGCTGTAGCAGATATCCGTATCCTCCTGAACCTTCATTTGATGAACCAAACAGTGCATTAAAGAAAAGTCAAATGAATAGACCTGTTGCTAACTTTTCTGTAGAAAATTTCCATGTTAATTAAAAGTACTGTCAGGGACCCCCATATGATGGTTAACTTTTGGTACATCAGCTGTCTACAAATCAGCTTCTTTGATGAATTTATCATTTAATCAACCAAACTTCTCTCAAACATTCTGGCCTATCAAACATTTTCAGAAGTTTGAAGAAATTAATGCTCAAAAAATCTAAACGTTTGTATAGCCGATCAATACTACTCGTGTAACCTAAACTAATCATTATAAGAAAGCCAAGCCACACTCATACTTTTAGGGGACAGTTAAGTTACCAACTTTGCCATATTCCATATACTAATCCTAAAGATGACACTTCATGTATCAACAAATCAAAGGTATTAGTGTATATATACCCCATTGTTTACTATTTCCTAATCAAGATTTACTAATCAACTTCCCAAAGTTCCTTAGCTAAGCTAATAAATAATCTATCCACAAGCTCCTACTGAAATAGAAAATACCCTGCTCACATTCCTATAAAACCAAGTTATTCTCCCAATTTTGCAGGCTACATACCATTTTTATTATCTCTATAATCTCCATAAACATTCAACGAAATAACGCAAAAAAACTTCATTCTTAACTGTTAAACTAATAAATTCAGTAGTGGCAAGAAAACCCAATGAAGTGTACAAGCAACTTTCCACAAAATTAGCAAAATCTGAGGCAGAAACACAAAGGGTAGGCTAAAAATCACAAAATTGAACCCTGAACTACAAACTTACTAGCACGAGTGCCTGATGCGCTTGCTTTCTGGAGACCCTTCTTCTTGATAATGAAGCTCGAACCAATGAAGGCGCTTGAAGCAACAGCGAGAATAAATCCAATCAAATTATCACTATACATGACCGAAATAAATCTATGATTCGATAACCCAAAAGTGGGTTTTTCATCTGAATCCCAAAATTGTATGAATAGAGAACAAATTAATGAAGGGTTTATCAGAAGTGGGAAAAGAAATTGGAAAATCAAACCCCTAAATTCCAATCTTGATTTTATAAGAATTGAGGTCTAACGTTCAAAGAGTCTAAATTGTTTTTTATGTAGGGATATAAATCTATGAATCGAGAACATAAATAAATGTATATTATATGTGTATAATATATAGATATAATATATACACACACGGCCAACGCGGGCGAAGTTCGTCACCTGCCAGTCCAAGCTACGGTCACTGTTCGTACTTTTTTTGTTTTCAGAGTATACACTCATTCCTGATCATAAATATTACAGTTAAATGTGAGCCGATGGATAAGTGATCCCCGAGATCATCTTATCATGCATTGTTTTAAAAAGTTAATTTTAGTGACATCCCATGAGATTTGGTCAAATATTAGTCTCAAACATCTCTAAAAAAAATAATTATCACTTACGTTCAATTTCCCTTAATTTTTTTAATCTCATTTATTCTTAAATTTCATATTATGTAAATGACCAATATACCCTTTATCATTACATGTACCAACCACCATTACCCATCCGACATAAGAAACGACCTCTCCAAGCCCTCTCCAAGCCAAGATTATCACCATCAACCATCGTTCTCTCATCTCTGTACCTTCGCAAAAATTCATGGTAGCTAAAGCACGGTACCTTTGCAGGGCTTTCATGGTCACTAAAACCCCGTTAGATCGCTGTTCACTCGATCTGTGAAGCTATCTATATTTTTGGTGTTTGGTCCTCAACTGGGTATAGAGATGAAGCTTGCACCGAGTGAATTGGTTCAATTAGTTCATGGGGGAGCATCAATGCCCGTATATATTTGCTATTGAATGATTCCAGGCCTCATTAATAGATACTTGTAAATTTTTTCTTATTTTTTTTCTCTCTTTTTAAATTTCATTAATTTCCTTAAAAAAATAAAATTTTCTTACTTAAAATTTCATTAATTTCTTTAAAAATATATATGAATGGGTGATTTTTCTTATTTTAGTTTTTAAAATTTTTCTTATTTTTCTCTTTCTCTTTTTAAATTTCATTAATTTCCTTAAAAAAATATAGAACCGAACAATTGTACGGCGTATAATAGCCCTCAATACCAAACTGTATGATGTTGATCACCTTTATTCTTGTATATGGAAAAGGAAGGGTAAACATATCATTTGAATAGTCAAACTAAAGTCAAATGAGGGTAAACATGTAATTTTAATCATTAAAGAAACAATTTAGTGGGTCAAACCAAAGTCAAAGAGTAAAAATGTCTTTTTACATGTAAAAAGTGGTCTAACCTGTCAACTAACTTTTGGGGTGTGAGTGAAAAACGGAACAAACGTTTATAATGTGAGTGATAATTATTTTCGAAAGATATTTGAGACTGATATTTGGCCAAATCTCAGGGGGTGTCAGTCAAATTATCCAAAAAAAAAGGGCAAATTACCGAAAATACCCTCCAAGTTTTCATCTCGTGCGGTAATATGATAGTAGACGCCATATAACAAGAAGGTCCTAGTTGACCATTTGACCTTAGTGCATCAATATGAATTTACCCATATAACCTTGGGTTGGTTTAAAGGAAAAATTTAGAAGGGATATGGTATTATTAAGTTACATTTTTGCCCCTCCTGCTAGATAACACATGCTTCTTTCCAATATGGGTTTACTGTATTGTTCCTTATTCTCATAGCCATTCCGATTGAAGGTTCTCTTTCTCTCTCTATACATATGTGTGTGTATATGTATATGGATTCATGCCATCATATTCTTGCAACTAAAAAATAACTATTTTTCTTATACATATGTATATAAATCAATGCTCTGTTTGGTTTACTAGATAATAGAGACAAGCAAGATTCAAATTTTCTCTTTTTTCTTTTTCTTACACTTAATTGAGCTTATCAATCTTTCAATTCTACGACCATAATGAATGACCCTCACTTTTGAAAAAGTGCCTTCTTTTTGTTCAGTGTGATTGTTTCTTGATTCTTTTATTAGAATATTTTCTTCCAAAACCATTGTCTTGGCAATTCCAAACATGGCATTAAGTTATGTTGTTGTGTCAACAATATGGATTAGGTTGACGACTCGAAGGTGGTTTGTGTAAACAGGTTGTTGCAAACTAGCTATGGACAACACTTGGAATTCAATCATGGGTTTAGTGTTGTAGATCAAAGTTTTGGGTCAGATCCAGTTGGTGTGGTGGCTTCTGGTGGAGCAAATTTGACAGCGAGCCATCATTGCCACTCTGTTTTCAGGCAAATGAACCACCACCGCTACCACCGTAACTTGTGGTGCCACCACCACTATCCTCACCTCCAAACCACCACCACCACCACCATCAAAACACCATAGCTGACGAAGCCATATTGGAGAAATAGGTGAAGTTTTGGCACTCGGACCCAATTGCGGTGGTTAGGTTAGATAAGAATTAGGATAAGTGTTTTGGTTTTTGAAATTACATGAATACCCACATTTTTTTTTTATGATGTGGCAGTATTTAATGAGGTCAAATTTTTCCAAACAAAAAGGTTATTTTTGTCAAAAAAATATATAGTAATTTCAGTTTAGTAATTGAGCCTTAAGGTTATTTTGGTCAATTTTTTTTTTTTTATTCCTTCAATGGTTTGATGTTCAAGGTCATATGTCAAGTCAATAAAACCACAAGGGTAGTTGTTCAATTTATCGTGCCAACTTCTATCCGAATGATAGAAACCTCGAGGGTGGTTTGTGTAATTTGCCCAAAAAAAAACAAAAAAACGAGTAAAGCACAAGGACACTCCAAGATTTGCCATAAAGGTAATTATATATAAGTTGACTCTTTTTTGTTTTTGGATGATAACATCTTAATAAAATTAACATACCTAATAAATTGACATTGTTGTCTTTGACTAACAAATTATTTTTTTTCATAATAAAATTACTATTCTAATCTCATATAATATTTATATTTAAAAAAAAAAAATAGATCAAACACAAAAAAAAAAAAAAAAAAAAAATAGAAAATATTAAACCCCAAAAAAAATGGGTAGGATGGATATTGATGCATCAATACACTTCACTGTACCTCTCTCCTCTCACCTCTGCCATAAAAAAAGAGGATTAAAGAAATGGGTATTGATGGGTTTTTCATATACATCAATGGCTTTGCTTTATCAACCCATCAAAACCATCTCTACCGCCGTGACCTACCACCATCAACACTTACTTCACCACTCTTCAACATCCATATATATTTTTCCCCTTAGTTACGACTAGAGGGTGTTCTCCTTCATTCTCCGGCGGGCGAGTGAGGGGGGTTTCTAGAACATTTTCTCCTGATTGTCAAGTGAATCTGGTTTTCTTGTCTCTTGGTTTGCCAAGTTCTCTTTTTTATTATTATTATGGAGGATGATCTTACCTCCCTTCTTGATTTCTGTAAGCTTTCGGAAGAAGAAGAGCGTGAGGTTGTTATTACTGAGATAGCTGCTTAAGAAGGGGTTAAATGGTGTGCCATAGTTTAGTCGGAAAACTCTTTACTGACAAACTTGTGAAGCTATTCAGTATGCACAAAGCCCTTTGTGAAGCCTGGGATTGCGAAGGTCTCCAAATGTATCATATTCGTGATCTTATGTTTCAATTTTTAATTCCCAGTACGGAAGCCAGTGCACGGATTCTCGGCAATCGTCCTTGGAGTTTTGATGGAGATCTACTTTCTATTCAAGCTTGGTCGCCAATGTTTGATTTCAAGACTTCTTCCTTTTTGATCGTTCCCTTTTGGATCCGGATCACTAATGTTCCTATTCAATTGACAACTGAAGAAGTAGCTCACGATATTGCCTCTTCGTTTCTTTCCTGTGACACTGTGGAAGTTCGAGATTTAGGTCTCACTAGTAGCGGCCGCTATCTCTGTATTTGAGTGGGGGTCGATGTCTCCAATTAATTTCGCCGGGGGTTAAAAATTTTCCACAGTGGGATACGCCAGTGGACGAAGTTTTGCTATGAATGCCTGCCATCTCTCTATTATAATTGTGGCCGGGTGGGCCATGAACTCCGATCATGTCCGTGGAAGTTGAATGAACCTGTGGACGATTGACACTTCAATTCTTGGTTGAAGGCTTCTAGGAAGGCTGGTCGGCTCCGGAATGATAAACCCAGTTCTTCTACTCCGAGTTCCTTGCAGACTACCGGTACCCTTTATCCGGTCCTTCCTTCTCCGACGCCGACCCGATCCTCTGATGACGTCAACAGTGGGAAGAGTGTTGTTGTCTCATCTACGCATCCAAAGTCTCCGTTCGCGGCTCGAGGAACGGCTGTGTTGGCTGCTGCCGTTGGTGAGCCTCATGCTTATTTAGGTAGAATGGACCCGTCTTCAGTACTAAAGCCATTATCTCCTCACTGGGTTGGGCCGTCTCTTATAGGTTCTGGTTCAGGTCAGCTTTCTGAGGGCCATTCACTTGTTTGGGGCCCTGAGGCCCAAGTTTCTTTAGTGCCCCAGCCCACTGATCAACGTCGGCTCCCTCAACCTGACCCAAGAGGCCCAACTAGAGCTCATTCTGCTCCAGTCGACGGTTTTCCATCCCCTCTAGATCTCTCATCCCCTCTTCGTGCTCCTTCTCTTCCAGCCGAGCCTGACCCACCTGGCTTGACTCATCGGTCTTGGAAGCTCAAGGCACGGTCCAAACCGGAACCATCCGGTAGCGCAGTTTTGTTAACTTCTAAGCGCAAATCTGCGGTCCTGCCCCATCCCCTGGAACCGGGTCTTAAGAAATCCAGAGTTCAGGCTTCAGGTACTCTTCCTGACTCCTCCCAGTTTACATCTCCCGTCTATATGTCCAATCCGGTGGTGGTAGCCAGCCTTGTGTGGCCCCAACCCCCTCAATGAGGGTTCTGGTGTGGAATTGTCAGGGTTTGGGGAACCCCCTAACAGTTTCCCAGTTGAGGAAGCTTGTGCGCCTCCATTCTCCGCCGTTAATTTTTCAGTCATAAACAAAAAATGATGGGACTCGGGTTGATGAAGTTTGTGCTCTTTTGGGGTTTTATGAATCTTTTATTGTTCCCTCTGTGGGTCGTGCTGGTGGTTTAGCTTTATTATTTGCTAAGGACTGGACTATTGATATTATTGATTTTTCTGGGTTCCAGATTACTTGTAAGGCGCTTAGGGGAAGAGGTGATAGTCCTTGGTTCTTCACTGGTGTGTATGGTTCCTGCACGGAGACTGAAAGGCTCTTTCAATGGCGTTATCT